CCCAGCGAGTCAGCAAAAAGAGGGTATATAAACCCTAGAAGAATCAATCAAAAAATTATTATTATTATTATTATTAATTGTCAAAGAGTTCAGCCGGAGGCTAACGCCGAGAGATGGCGCCGAGTAGAGGTTGGGGTGGCGAGCGCCTGTTTCATAAGCTCAAGTAAGTAGACTTACTTCGTATAAGCCATGAACATTAAGTGTGATAATATTAAAGTGCAAACCCAAGGGAGAGAAAGTGAGAACTAGAGGGACTAGGTTTACTGAGGAAGAGAGACAGAGCGATAGGATATTCAGTATCAGGGTGACAGGAGTAGAACTAATGTGTGTACGACAGGAAAATAACCCAAATGTAATACGAACTAACAACGTCGGCAATGTGTGTACATATTATTTATATAGCGACATAGGTGAATAGAGTAGGATAGAAATGTGCTGTGATGTTAATTGAACTTAGCCTTCCCTCAAGCGTTACCATCCTCCCTGAATGCTCCTGCATCTCCCGGATCATTTAGGAGAATTGCAACTCATGTCAAGGCGGCAGCTACGTCAGTGATTGTGAATTTACTTGAGCCCCCCTTACGGCATAACAAGATGGTCGCAGCACTACGCCTTGGTGGCAGCGGTGGGATACCTCCACGCCATTCTGTCACCACGGCATAATAATAGCGGTGAGATATCCAATCCACCCTGTCGAGAAGAATAATAATCGGTGGCAGAGGTGGGAGCGAGTCAACGAAGGGTTGGCTGAAGTAGTGAATTAATAATGTGTGTACCCACCCCTGTCATTGCGGCATAATAAATGGTGACAGCGGTGAGATATCCAATCCACCCCTGTCGCAGAAGCATAATACCTTATCGAAGAGTTAGTTTCATCTGTTGCTTAGGAAATGCTAGCAGAGAACACCTTGTAGAAGTGTTTGGTTTCATCCGTTGTTACGCAACGGAACCTCTTATCCTCTCATCTCCGGGGAAACGAGTTTGTTGTGTCGGAAATTCCTATGCAAAGGCCCATTGTTATTGCGCTTCCATGGAAGTATAATTTCCGGTTTCATCCGTTGTTACGCAACGGAATCTCTTATCTTTTAATCTCCGGGGAAACGCGTTTGTTTCGGCAATTCCTATGCAAATGTTATTGCGTTTTCATGGAAGTAAACTTCCCGGATTCACGCGTGGCCGGGTACAGCTAGTAGGTATATAAAAACACGCGCGCATTCGAACACAACGTTCTGTCAAAATTTCGAAGTAATCGGTGAACTTTCGGAGATTTTCTAGGGCTAACAAACGAACATTTACATTTTTATTTATGAATATTATTATTTCCTTTATTATCGTTAAACTAAGAAAAACATTTCTTTTCATGCACTTAATACACTTTAATTTTACATTCTGTAATCAAACACATACAAAGAAAGTTTCATATGTCGCTGGTGTTTCATGCTGCTGCAAATGGTAAATACTGCGATTTGTTTCATTGTTGTAGTACTCACAATATTTATCTCGGATTTTCTTTGCATCTGAGGTACTAATTCTGTTCAAAGTGCTTTGTAAATCCGCAGGGTCGTATTCAGCAGTACTTTTTCCATTTGGGTGAAAATATACTTGATTACTTTCCTTAACAAGGAAATTGTGCAAGTAACAACAAGCCATTGTAATTGTTTTGGCCTTTTGCCGTTCAAGGCTAATTGGTTTCTGAAATACACCAAATTTGGAAGCCAGAATTCCGAAAATATTTTCCACACCTACACGTGCTCTTGACAATCTTTTGTTCAATTCATGTAGAGCTTCATTCAGAAATTTCTGAGAGTAGTGTTTCATTAAATTTACATCTAATGCAAATGCCTCGTCCGCGACGAACAGGTACGGAAAATGTTCAGCTGTGTTTGGTAATGTTGTGGGTTTTGGCAAATTCAGGGCTCTTTGCTGTAAAAGTTCCCCAAATTTTGAGTAGTACAGAACTCCTTCAATCGATATTCGTTCATTCATGCCACATCTACCATGATGAATTCCTTTGTTGCGTTTACCACAGCTAACAGAACGATGCTGAAAGACCCTTTGTGATTGTAATATAAGAAACCTGATTTCGTGGGTTTCTTAATGGCAATATGTTTGCCATAAATTGCCCTCGCGGTATTCCAAAATTGATGAAGATGGGCGAAATCACTCGCGATGTTAACCCATTCCTCAAGAGTTCTGGGAAACTGAAAAAAAAAAAAATTTTAAATATAACAAATGTATAAGTACAAGATATATTTAGTAACAGTAATATATACATTTTTTGTCTATATTCAGGACACTCATGATGGAACAGACAGTGAGGTACACGGAGAACAATTCCCGACACCAGCATCCCCTACCGCATCACGATCATTAATTCTTCCACCACACCACCCAAGAAACGACATATACTTGGACCAATTGCGAAACAAAATGACCTACAGAAAACTTGTTCATATCTGGACCAACCGAGTGAATCCCAAGATAATATCCCAACTATTGCCAAGGCTTGGAGTGAGAAACTCAATATACTGGATCCTCAGCAAAGAGCTTTAGCTGAGAAAGCTCTTAGTGATGTCTTTTATTTTGAGGCGAGTCAAAGCACTCTACACAGATATTCTGTGAAAATCAATGAAGATCCCACATATGGGACCATTTCGTCACTAACCTCTTTCCCCATCACTGTGAGAAACCCATCACTTCAATCTTTTTCATCTGTGGATACCTCTTCTTGTCCCTCACCAGCTGAAGAACAAGAAGATGCATTGCCTATATTCTTTACAAACTTTAAACATTAATTATGATCCTTTATGTTATTCTGTAACAGTTTCGTTACTAGTTTCATGTTTCATTAGTCACATGCTTTTAAATAGAATTTTTATGTTGAATTGAATTGAATTTATTTACATTCTATAAATCCTAAGCAGGTTAGTACCTTTGGATACAGAACAAGTCAAAATGTTACATACATAAGTACAGGCAATTTTAGCTTAAAAATTAATATAACTTAATTTTACATCATTCTCTATTTACATTGAAGTATTCATCTAAAGAGTAGAAGGAATGAGCATGTAGATAATTCTTTAACTCTGATTTAAACTTTTTAGTATCATTGCCCAAGTTTTT